GAAAATAAAAGAAATAAATGTGAACTGATTTTAATTGTAGAATTATGATATTGCCTAGTTTATCTTTTAATGATTCTTTTTTAATTGCTAGAATTTCTTGTGATGGTTTTACTGTTTGGTTTATGAGAAAAGAGAGGAAAAAATCCGGGTTGCCTTGTGTTTGGATGCACAAATAGGCCAAAAGTCTGTGAATGGCTGCAGAGTTAAGGATTTAGGGAAATATATTTTATGGAGTGTGCACCGCCTGGTGTTGAACCGGCGGGTGCATACATCATTTTCCTTATATTATACTACACCATTTTATGTATCTTCATTTTTGCTACTTGAAGAAAGTTAGCATGCTTGGCTATTTCAACCCCTTATCTTGACCCTTGAATCAAGTATTTGTAATTAACCGGTACTAATGCAAATAAGGTCTAAATTTATGTTTAGGTGGATGTGTATAAACTAATAGATCATTGTCTTTTCTAGGTTATACATCTGATAAAGGATACGAGCAACCAACTGGAGGTTAACCAAATTGTTATAGATTAAGTATTATAACCTTGTTTTTGGGATGAAGGTTATGGGTTTAAATCTGTTTTGATCTTAAAGGAGCCCAATACTCCTATGAACACGAAACAGAAGAAAGAACAGATTAATAAAAAAAAAAAAAGGAAAAAAGGGCAAAAGGAACCAGCAAGAGGTTGAAAACTATGAAGAGGAAGTTCACTATCAAAAGATTGTCTCATTTGGTGACTAAAGGCACAGTAGCTTGTTTCAAATCAAGTTCTTTTATCGTTTTGTTGTCAAAAAGGTGCAGTTTTCCATATTGAAATCTGTGGCTTGCAAGAGATAAAGAGTTTATCCATGAGCTACCAAATCACATTTTTGGTGCATTTGCCCCCTATTGCAGCAGATTGAATGTATCTGAGGTGCCTAGATAGTCAAAAATGCACTGTGTAGCTAATTATTAGCCTACCCGATATCTATCACTGTGCACCTTATTTTTTTTTGGATGAATGTGCAGCCTATCATTACTCTACTCCACATTCATAAAAGTCCACAATATGAGTGCATAGTTTACTCTTAGCAACCAAACTTCTAATTTAATCTTCTGGAATATCCCAAGTAATTAAAATTTTTTTTATTAGCATGCTTCTGCTGTTTAAATAAGTAATTGTATTTAATATTATGAATTTAAATGAATAAAAAATATCAATCATTTAAATGATATATAAGATCGTATTAAAAAATAATATAAAATAATTGTCTTTAAATATTTTTTGTTAAAAAGAGACAAATATTTTTTCTTATTTTAATCTTACTATCATCTTTGATTTTAATTATTCATTTTATTATAAAAATTTAATTTTTATTCATTTTTTTAAAATTAGTATAAATAAAAGAATAAATTA